TTATAGTAAGTGGTTTCTTTCACCATTTTCTACAGCCGGTGAGTGGGCTGAGGCCGGTGTGGGGGAGAGGGAAGGAACACGCAGCTGTGGGCAGCTTGGGCAGCCGCTGCTCCTCCCCTTTGCTAAGCATTCTAGAGTTTCCTAAAACTTTTAATGTGCAAAAAGCAGAATGTAAAAATTTTATTTTATTTTAATGTGCAAGGAGCAGCACATAAAAATTTGAATTTTGGCCCACTGATTTATTTATCTTTGAGTTTATTCTTACTCTCATTCATTAAAGGAAAATTCAGAGGTACAGATTTATATTCTTTCTGTTTACCCTTACATTTACCCTTTTCTTTTTTGAAAATTTCACTTAGAAAATTAAATATAGAATGTAAAAGTAGTCATAAAAAAGCAAAAATAATCAACTAAGAATGACTGTAAAATGGCATTTCTGTGTAGAGTGTTCTTTTGTTTCTGTTTTTAGGTTTGGAGTTTCAGCGCTATAAATTTAGGTGCAGATGCTATAGCTACTCTGATCCAGCTCTGACTTCCCTTGTCAGCATCCATACAGGCTCAGATATACCAGGAACAAAGTCCCCCTAGGTCCCATCATTGTCTGACAAAGCTCATTCAAGTTTGCTACGGGAAGACCACTGGGACAAGAGGTTGGAAAGTCTGCATAGGGAGAGAAAAGTGACTCATCCTCCCTTCCTAGCCCTGTGCAGTGACAGGCACCAGATGCCTCTCAGTGCTTCCTTAATTTAACTTGGGCTGTCTACTCAAGAAAAAGAAAGAATGTTCCACTTCATGTAAAAGGTGCATCCAAATGGAAGAAAACTATTTGCAGGAGTGTGCTTTAATCTTTATTCCTATAAATCATTTTACTTGCAGCTGCAAAACTAATTGTTCTCAAAGCTAACAAGGATTATATCTGGTAAGCCAGGTTTGCTATTTTAAAACCAGAAAAGAATAGGGAAACACTGTGTCCAAAAATTTATATTGTTTCTACAATGGAGGAATTATACAAAGGGGATTCATTTGGATTTTTTTCCTTCAATTTTGGTAATGATGTACAATATGATGTTCATCTGATTCTTCTTACTTTGCTGAGAGAATGGTAAATTATTTAAACTCTAGTACATCTCTCTCTTTTGCTCCCCTACCCATCCCCTTGTATTTCTAAGTTTCCTTTTCTGTTTCTGTTCTGCATTCAAAAACGCTTTTTCTTTCTTCCTGAGTGAAACTGTAAATTTAAGGTGGAGAAGTGAAAAAATAAAAAAGGGTTTAAACAGCTTTAAATAAAAAAGCTGTTCACCATGTCTAATCCCCAGTTTACAATGTAAGCCTATCTCTTAAAATATAATGTCCAGTGAAGTGGATCACAAAAGTTAGTTTTCATTTTTTTTTTTTTTAGAACAAATAGCCTTGTTCTATTTCTTTCTTTCTTCAGCTCCTCTTGCTTTATTATTTTAAAATTTTCATAATCATTCTTCAGTTGTTTGGTACTGAACTCTATCTAGGTGGAGAACTGAATCAAGGGGTCAGTACTGAGTAGAGTGGAGAGATGATGAGGGTTCCTACGTAGAATTCTTCTCCAGACACACAGTTGTACAAAGGGAAATAGCATTTCACTTCCTGACCTTTGGAACACCACTGATGTCACTATGCAATATAATACTGATCAGACTAATTCATGAGAATGGCAAATAAACTGGTAATTATACAGTTCATATTGCTGCTAGCAGTGATCTCTTTCATTACTGAGCAATTCTGTGAGTCAGGTTTTGAAGTGGATGCTTTCCATATGCTAGTTTACTTAATATTCAAAACAAATCTGCCAGGTTGGTATTATTCTCATTTTATTGGAAAGGAAATTGAAATCTGAGACACAAGCTCCGGAGCTAAGTTTTCAGCTGAATTTTTTTTTTTTTTAGTTGTAGAACTCCTAATCTTTCCAGTTTTCTTCATTAGGTACTGGAAAATGTGAAAGGCAAAAAGTATTCCTGACACACTTTATTGTTTTATTGTAATAAAACTTTGAGGCAATACATAGAATCACCAACTACCACATACCCACAGCATAGTGAGAAGTAGACACTTATATAACACATACTCAGTTATGTCAAGAAAACTTGAGAGACGTGTCTTCACATAGCCAAGTAAATAATTTCACATGGGACTAAACTCTATCATTTTATTCCTTATTCAAATAGAAAATATTTTCTTGCTAGTATTTCAGGATACTTATTTCCTTCCTTCCTTACTCGTACTTTAGACCAGAAATCCCTAGAGATATAAACAGGAATGAATAAAAGCTTTGAGGAAACTAATATTTTCTTGTGAAAGTAGGCCTTAAAGTTAATACAATCTTAAGACAATAGTCTCTGACTGTGTGTTTCTCACCTATGCCTGGAACTCCAGTGGAAAAATAACTTTGAAGTTCATGGCCCAGCTTCATGCTCAGAGCAGAAATAAAGCTGTGGTATGATGTCTTGTTCACTTTCATGACACAGGCTATATTTTGCCGAATCTTATTAGTTTTCCCTGAATTAAAGCACATATACTACTGCTGTTGTACTGAATTTGGTTTTCTCTTTGAAACAGATGAAAAAAAGTTTACCTCAAGACATAAGAGGTTATTAAACTGTACTACTGGGCTAGTTTCTTAGAGAACAAAGCTAAATGTGGAATTGTCAATTCTCCTGATAATGTAAACTACAAAAGAACTCAACTTGATTAATAGTATCTTAGCATATTTCTACTATTTGGACTGTGCTAGTCCATGTTGATGACAATATCTGAATAATTGGCTAACTTTGCATTTCATTTTATCAACAAAGGCACATCCTGAGACTCCAAAGCATCCACATGCTGTCATTTCTAAAACGGAAGAATTTTTCGGTGTTTGCCAGGTAAGTCACCATGGATGAGAATTGCCTGTCCTTTATTAGATCTGCAGTTGTCCTCTTGATAAATGCTAATAGTCATTTGAAATGTTTTATGCAATTATATATTTTAAATAAATGGCCTTTCATCCTGTGGATCTTAGTTATCTTTAAAAAATGGGCTCTTTCCCCATAAAACATTTGGAAACTCAGACTGGCAGTTCAGGCTTGCTAAATAATTGATTGCATCAGTTAATTCTCTGGTGATCAAAAATTGGGAATTTTGGGACAACCCCTTCAGGTCCCCTCCCACTGTGGGAGCTTCTCTGTCTTCTCAATAAATCCTGCTTTCTCACTAAAAATAAAAATAAAAAAATAATAAAAAATAAAAATAAATTGGGAATTTGGGAGAGATTTTTCCTCTTCTCTAAAAAAATCTAGCATGTTGATCTTGCAAACATTTTACTTTTATTTTGAGAGGTAAATTTTACAAGTGCAAGAATGACTTCAGTTCCACACTTTTCAACCCATGCAAAAAGTTCTGAAGATATGGTAAGGACGGAAAATTTGGAAACTCCAAAGATCTATTTATTGTCTTTGTTTCTTCTAGTCAAACCTTTAAAGCACAAATTAAAAACTGGTGGCCAGGGCCTGAACCTAGATACAGAAACTCTGATCATTACTACTCTCTATTGCCTTATGTCTAGTCTCTTCATGAATTTAAATGATCTTTCTGGATTCTGAAAACCTTAGAGTGAAGACCCTTGCTTAAATCCATCTCTCAAATCTAATAGGGGAATCACTTAGAGAAATGAATAAACGATATAATTTTGTGACCTATTACTAATACTATTCGGGTATTTAACATAATGTCTGGCATATAGTTATTACTTAATAAATTACAGCATAATATCGCTTAATATCTTTTAGGCATTTGAGAAATCCATCTTATCTCTCTAGTCTTCTGATGTGATGATTTGCTATACTCCTCTATTTTATCACGATAGATAAGATTATCTGGAAATACTACTATTTTACCCTATAATTTTGCCCATATATATCTAGAATAATAATTCATATAAAATCAAGAAGGTTAAACCTTATTTTTTAATCAACATCAACTTTAAAGAAACCAATTATCTATGTTTGGACAGTAGGATAAATAAGTAGGAAATAGTGACTAAAATTCTAGTTTGTATATGCATGTGTGTGTGTGTACAACACAGTACATATATATATATATACACATGCACACAATTTCCATATATGTAGCTGCTTTTTCCTAATCTTTGTCATTTAGAATTGAAATATTTATGTATGTTTAATTATACATAAAAATTATTATATGATGCCAATTTAGATTAAAATAAATGAGACTAGAAATTTCATGGGAATACATTCAAGTATTGTGTCCTCTGCAAATTCTCTTTCTAGTCCTTTTAATACATTCATAGAACAGGTCACGTGAGTCATCTAAATGAAAAGACACAGATGTATATTCAGCCAAAGAATTATTCAATGTTTTATCAAATAGAGGGGAAAGAAACCTTTCTCTTTCTTCATTTCCTGTCATGTTCCTTGAAGTAAGATAAGTCAGAAGCAGTAGGTATAGAAAATCTATGCAATTGTGCCTTTTTCTTTCATGGCCTTTCACTGTCCTTTGAGAATGCAGGTTCTCCGGGAAGGGTAATATCATCGTATTCCTGTAGGACTTCATAGGGGGGTAAAAGCAGAGACTGGCCCTCTTCTCTCCAGTTCCATATGACATTGCTTTCATGCCCATCAGACCCAGATGGTAGCCTGAGCTAACCAGGATGTGTCATGCTTTGTCAATAATTCCCTTGTCCCTATTTCTCTTATCTGCCATACTGATCACTCTATTTTCCTTTATGTCAGTATTCCACAACTAACCAATTGAATCTACATGAAATTTAGATTTTGCAGGCTAAGAACCTAGGTCATTTGTTTATAATTTCATTTAAAAAAATTTTTTACTTTCTAGGTAAGGCCATTCAAAAATCCTACACAGAGTTCTTTTCTCCTATCCTATATGCTTCTGTTCCTGCTTGGATCTATGTCATCAGAGAATGCTGACATTCAATTAAAAAAAAAAAAGATTATTTAAAGTACCTTGTCCAAAATGAGCTTGCTTGTGCACAGTCAGAACACTTCGGTATCCCAAACTCCTACAGATGACCTGTCCAACACGTAGTTCCCAGCGATCATCACAAATTGTACCCCACTGGCCATTGTGGAATATCTCCACCCTCCCCTCATGAGGGCCTCTCCCACCAACCAGTCGAACTGTCTTAGGTGGAGCTGTAAACAAAGACAAACGAGTTAATTATTCACATATTGTTTTATGATGCTTTTTTTCTCTTTTGAAAAGCATTTTAGCACATTTCTCCAATGAATTCGACTACTGGAATAAATATTAGACTTTCTAGCACCACCTATTGGTAAAGAGTTTAGCTGCAAGCCCTGCATTTGTAAAATCTGAAGACCAAAATCCAATCTCTCTACTTTAACATTTATATAAGTTATATATATGAGAACACTTCAGAGATTATGTTCTAATGGCTTTAAAATTTAACAGCTAGAAGTTTATTAATGCCATATAGATTTTTCATACTATTTAGAAAAATTTATAACAAAGTGGTTTATTATCTTTCTTGACACACTAAAACACGAACTCAAACACATTCAGCTGCTTTCAGCGGGTTTAAGAGGTCAAGGAGCAGACATTCTGAAATATTACAAACATGAAAATAGATGACCAAAATTCATATCTGTTACTGAAACAAAATAACTGTAGTGATAACATTCTTTTTGAAACAGCAAGTATACTTCTTAATATGGGGCCTCTAGATTTTGCCCCAAAGTCTTTTTTTGTGCGTGTGTGTGTTTTTTTTGTTTTGTTTTGTTTTTGAGTTGGAGTCTCACTCTGTCGCCCAGACTGGAGTGCAGTGGTGGCTCCCGGCTACCGCAGCCTCGACCTGCTGGACTCCGGCGATCCTTCCGCCTCAGCCTTCCTAGTAGCCGGAATTACAGGTGCGCGCTACCACGCCCGGCTGATTTTTTTTTTTTTTAATTTATTGTAGAGATGAGGTCTCGCTGCCCAGGCGGGTCTCGAACCCGCGGGCTCAGGCAATCCGCTCACCTCAGCCTCCCAAAGGCGCGGGATTACAGGCTGAGCCACCGAGCCCAGCTGAGTGTGTGTTTTTTTTAAAAGAGATTTAAAAATCAGACAATTTATATATATGTGTGTGTGTGTGTGTGTGTGTGTGTGTGTGTGTGTGTGTGTGTGCGAGTG